TTTGTCGGGCTAGGTTGAGTACAGAAGCTGCACAGGACAATTTATCGGAAGTATGGCATATAGAATACAATTCATTAAAAATAATTTCTGAGTCTTTGAAATTTTGATTTTTTTATAGAACGTTTTTTTTTTATTTTGAAAGTTATGATCAAGTTTCTTATAACAATTTCTTGTATTCATGGTTGTTATAATCAATGTTTTTAAATCTATCATTGAGACCATCCATAGTACGAGTTCTTTTTTGTGTTACAGCAGGATCAATCTTGCCATTAGTGAGGTGTCCTGAGCCGAAAAGTTTTTGAATTACTTGTACTTTATATCCAAAGTCCTTACAGGGATTTTACTTAAAATGTTGATACAGCAGTTTGTGTGCATTTTCAGAATTTCCTGCAGATCTGTGATTATTAAACCTTGTTTTACCAGATTTACTCCTTTCCCCAACATGTTGTAATCTACAGTAATTGCAGGTCAATAAATATACTATATTTTGCGTATTACAATTAAGGTTTTGATCTGTAGAAATATGGTAGCATCTACCAGTAACAGAGCTATTAAACGTGTGGGCTTCATCGTAATCAGTACCAGTACATAATTTACATTGTTTATGGTTACAAGCATTAAAAGATAAACTAAAAAAATTGCAAGTTATATTCGAATCAATTGATTTATTAGGTTGGTTACCCTTATGGGTAAGATTTGATGTCACATTAGTCGAGCAATCCAACTGATTATCAACTATACACTAAGTTTCATCAGTTTCTATCAGATAGAATCAAAGTTATCTTGTCCCAAAGCTGAGAGAGAAAGAGAGAGAGAGAGAGAAATGGGGTTTTTAAACGAGAAAACCCATGAGATTGGACAGGCGACCCTCCAAAGCTTCAACCAATGAAATTGCTTAGTTCTGCTTAGCTTAATCATTGAACTCAGTCAAGAAATTCACCTAATGAACATCTACATCATGTTAAAAACCTTCTACCTCAATTAAAAGCAAAGTTGTTATGTTCCAAAGTTTTGATCAATCAAATTGCTTATCCCTCCTTAGCCTAAGCATAAAATTCTCATCATCAAACTTAGTCAAGGTAATGATATAATGAATCTATACTCAGAGTTGCTCTCACTTAATTATCGTGTCCCATAGCATCAACCAACCAAATTGCTTATCTCTGCTTACCCTAAGCAGAAAATGCTCATCTTTGAATTGATCTAATAAACACCTACACCAAGTTTGAACGTTCTAGCTCAATTAGAAGGAGAGTTATTGTGTTCCAAAGTCTCGGCCAATCAAATTGCTTATCACTCTGCTTACCCTGAGCCGAAAATGCTCATTATAGAACTTAGTCAAGGTATTTAATAAAACTATGAAACAAATTTCATCACCCTCACTTAATTAGAACTAAAGTTATCGTGTTCCAAAGCATCAACCAATCAAATTGCTTATTTCTGATTACCCTTAGCAGAAAATGCTTATCTTTGAACTCCATCCAGGCATTGACCTAATAAACACCTGCACCAAGTTTGAACATTCTAGCTCAATTAGAAGGAGAGTTATTCTGTCGCAAAAACAAAAAATGTGGCAAACGTGGCAGACAGACAGACGGACAAACCCATTTAATAGTCCCCTGCTTTCTTCGAAAGGCTGGGGACAACAAGTGAGATTAGTCCTTACATTAGTAATCTATATTTTGCATATTATAACTTTGGTGAGAATAACTTCAGTTAAACTCATCAATTAATTAGCATCTTAGTGCCATTGGTCAAGAGATTAAGATTGTTGATTGGGTAATCAAGTGTAGTTTCTGGATCATCAAAGAAGCCGCCACAGCTATATAACTGCATGTACAATATAGTCTGGTCGAGCTATCCTCAAATCTCGCATTAGTGGGAAAAAATTCCTACCCAAGCGATTATTATTTCATATGAACAAGTAGGGTGAGTAGTCTTCCAGAAAAATTTTCCACATTGATCGGCCTTGGGGAAAATTTTTAGGGGGCTTTTTTGTTTGGACCCCCGAAATTGCCCTAAAATCCATTAAAGGCTATGATAACTCGCTTAATATTCATATTTGGGGTTAATAATGTACTAGGAGCCTATAGGAAAACGATACCAAGGAATTCAAAAATGACGTCAAAAACTGTTCCCATCATTTATATTTTTGTTCAGTTTTAGTTTGTTTGCTAATGTGCTGTGCCTGTGATTTGATTGGTATCCAGCCATGACACAATTCAGAAGTGAAAGTGAAAGTGACGTTTGATTTGCGTTTTTTTTTTTTTAAAAAAAGACCTTTCTACAAAGCCGCTACATGTTTTCTGTATGTAATGATGAATGATGATAATGAAGATGACGGTAACTTATCTGAATCTTGTTGTGTTATGTGTGAGGAGGATTTTACTCACGAGAAAGCTACAAAATTGTACAAAAAAGGTCGGGGTACGCTTTCTCGCTTCGCCGAGGTAAGGGGAGAATTGACATTACAACAGCGGTTACTTACGGAAGGTAATCTATATGTTCATGAAAGCTGTCGTGGGACGTATATCGACGAAAGAACATTGACTCGTAGCACTGATGATAGTGGTGAACCACGCCCTAAAAAATTGCGATCCGAAGTACCACAGTTCGAATGGAAAGTGCACTGCTTTTTATGTGGTGAACCTGCTATTTCCGACGCTCGTCATCCAACAAGATTCATTTCTGTTGTTATGTAGTTGGCTCGAGAGCGAGGGGGATTAAAAAATCTTCTCGATCAAAGAACTGCATCGCCAGATGGGTGAACTTGCATGCGAAGGCTCAGAAATATACTCAGAGAAGGCTCTGCGCATGAAGCTTAAATCACATTACGGGGAGCATATCTATTTTGCATGTATTGGTGGAAGTAGGGAAAAAGTAGTATGCTTTCGGAACATGGCCAGCTTCATAATTAGTGACTCTTGGTATCAGGAAAGAAAAGCAAATCAGTTGGAAGATAGTGAACGCATAATGGTCGCTGCCACAAAACTGATTCGCGAAGAAATTAGACGAGAATACACGAAACGCGAATATCCAAATCCGTATGACCTGAATGACTATGATAGCTTATGCGAATTCCTTACTCCTAGTCTTCTCAAACTGTTACAGACTTTGATGAAAAATGACCTAAAAATGGTTTCTATCGGCCATGCCATCGTCCAATGTGTGCGGCCAAGGTCAGTTATTTCGCCAATCATGTTTGGACTGGGCGCTGAGATGGATTTAGTTTTCGGTTCTAGATGGTTCCTATGACAAGGTACAAACTTTTAAACATTCTATTTTACAAGATCCTACGCTGAAGTGTCTATCAGGAGCTGAGAAATGCCCCACTCATTATGTGGCAGATAATGCTGACTCCAACGTAAGCACGTTGGACGGAAAAGGAACATTTCACAGTTTAGGCCTTATAAGAATTACAAAGAAGAAGCACAGAGTTGACTCTGTGTCTAAGCGCGTCAAACAATTAGCTCGAGTTCATGTCAATGAATTGGTAAAAGACCGAGGTATACCTGTTCTGTCTTATGTTCCATGTGGTCCACCAGCTTTAGCATCTGTGAAATTCAATCCTTTGATCGAACTGAAGTATCCAACAACTGGTTTACCAACTTTGTACTATTCTAACCTTTTATGGCAGTCGAGTTATCTTCTCAAAAGATCACTATCACCGGAACCGCATTGGGTGTTTTATTTGTAAATATTAATTCATTTATTGTGAATTATGATAAACTTCAAGAATGAGGTAAATTTTCAAAATTTTCAAATTTTTGGCACCATTTTGACTTATGACGTCAAAGGTCATTTTTGACGTCATTTTTGAATTCCTTGGTATCGATTTCCTATAAGGCTCCTAGTACATTATTAACCCCAAATATGAATATTAAGTGAGTTATCATAGCCATTAATGGATTTTAGGGCGATTTCGGGGGTCCAAACAAAAAAGGCCACTAAAAATTTTCCCCAAGGCCGATCAACAGGCAAAATTTTTCTGGAAGGCTTCTCACCCTACTTGTTCATATGAAATAATAATCGCTTGGGTAGGAATTTTTTCCCCACTAAATATGTACCTCGACCAGGCTAATAGGTCTATTGTTATTTTCAGGTACCGTAACGGTATCAAAATATGAATCCCTGATAGAATGATAGAAATTTCAATTTTATTTATAAGAAATGCTTACATTCACTTTCGTGCATTTTGGGGGCAGTGTAATAAAACAAATAATGGCTCACTTTTTCTCACTCGAGAATCGTCGCTTTTCGACTCGGTGGTGGTTTTCATTTTTCCTACCCATTGTGATAATAGAATTTAAAACAATAATATCCAACTTTGCATGCCATATGAAGCTATCAATAAAATCTCTTCAAAAACTAAATTATTGGCCATTTTGTATATTTCCATTTAGGCTTTTAAATTATTGGGTTTTTTAAAAGACGATATCAAATTATGACTGCTTGGATTAAATATTCAGAGTAAATAAAGATTTGTTGACGGCCTTATCATTGGTAATTATCAATCAACTCATCATTAATTCGTGACAATTGATAAGTGTTACTTGATGACACGATCTATTTTACAGTATGTTGCCACATGCTTTTTATTAACATGCTTTTATTGGCAATCTATATACGATCAAAATTTTAAGGACTTTTTTCTCCCCGTCACTTCTCAAAATCGCATGTACCCCAAATATTATTGCCAAAATCAAATTTCTATTGTCAGCTTGAGCCTTGAGGCAGTCATAATACAACAAAACTTCACACAGGGTGTCTGAACTGCTTAGCAACAAGCGAAGTTTGTTTACATTTTGTAGGCGTTTTAAAACTTGTTTGTATCCATTCAAAATAAGCTAGAGATTCACCGCTTCAGACAGATTTCTGAATACGGTACTCTTACAAAATGTCCAAATAAAGGTGTCTTAATACAACTGCATTTCATTGTGGGTAATCAAAAAGGATAACAAAGTATAGGTGGCATTCAAAAGTCAAGCTTTTTCACTCACCTCTTTGCATCATCTCTCCAGCTGTGAGGTAAAATTGTTGTGGGTCAGAAATTTGTTGTTTTGGAAATCTAGCTGAAATAATATAATATATATTCAACAATGATATACATGCATTTAGTGGACAGTGAGTAAAGTGTATATAGCAATCTTGGTAAATACAAATCAAAAGAAAAAACAAGCAGATGTCCTTCACCATTATCCAAAAATAAATATATGATAAGCATTATAACATTATTTTTTTAAAATGCATCTGACAATAAATTTGCAGAAAGTAGAAATGCATGGCTTGCAAATATGCCCAAATAGCAGGAATATCTCGACTGTAGTATATCCGAAAAGAAACTTGTTGACTAAATTTGATATTTTGGCAAGGGGTATATATAACTCTGGACATCAACAGGGTTCTTCCTCTCATGACCCCATATTCAAAAAGAATCAGTTAACCGACGGTTGCCATCCAAGGTACGCCTACATTTTGCAAGAGATGGACAGAGAACAAGTTAAAAATTAAAGCGATTTTCCGTACAATCAGTGGCCACAATCCAGGAAGTTAAGGTCCAATATGCACGAATATCAAAAGGAACCAAGATCTTTGGGATATAAACATATCTTTTAACCCGTTAACTGTGTAGTTTTTAAAACGTTAACTACCCCCTATTGTGTAATTAATTTGATGAAAAACGTCATTTTTGGACCTTTTTATTCCTGAATACAAATGATAGTAGTCTGAAACCATATTAAAACTAACGGTAAATAGAGTTGTCTCCCTTCAATTCGATTTCCTCGACCAGGCGTAATATAACGTCCTACACATGCTGCGATCGTATGTTCGAAGAATAGGTCGGGGAAAATACCTCCAAGACGTTATATTACGCCCTACACTGGTGAATGGCAGTTGTCCAGGACGTAATATAACGCCCTATGCATTTAACGGGTTAAGTTTCATGAAAATCGGATAAAAATTGTGACCTCTAGAGGGTCCATAACCTTGGTATTACATACTTTTACGCTATGTGGAACGGCCATTTTGTCAGGAAATTTTGTCCCATTTTCACGATAATTTGAACTCAATCGTCATTATGGAGTAACACTGATATATTTAGACATTTTTTTAAAATCGTACAATCAAGGGCCAATATGCGCAAATATCTACAGGAACCAAGATCTTTGGGTTATAAACATGCATTTCAAGTTTCATCAAAATCAGATGAAAATTGTGACCTCTTGAGGGTCCACGAGCTAAAAACGTGATTTTTCGTACAATCAGGGGCCATAATCCATGAAGTTTTGATCTGATACATGCCAATTTCGAAAAGAACCAGGATCTTTTGAAGATAAACCTATATTTCAATTTTCGTCAAAATCGGATAAGAATTGTGACCTGTAGAGTGTCCTCAAACAAATGGTGGACAGACGTCCGGACAGACAGGGGCAACAACAATATACGTCCACGTGAAAATGTGGGCATATAAAAATCTTTATCTATATTGTTGTTTATTACATTTTTAAGGTCCAATACATTAATTATGATATCATGGACAAGTATTGCCCAGCTATACACAAGGTTAAAAAAAGTGAAACAATGACTTTTGTTTTCTGAGTAAAGTAACAATGATTGAAGGAAACGCACCTTGGTCAGCCAATTGTTTCTTTCGTTGTGACTTAGGATAGGGTTTGTGAACTACAGCACTCATGTTGCTATCTGTACTATATGGACTTGATGGTCTTGGAGTAGCTCGTTGATGTTTGCGATATTTCCTAACTAATTATATAAAAATCACATAATAAAATAATAAAGCATTGATAGCAATGACAAGCCAACAGTGAGGCTGATGTCCCCCCACCAAAATTCCAAAAAAAATAGATGACACATATTATTTAATCGCACATTTATTTCTTTCAAAAGTATCGAGCAATCAAACTGATTATAAACTATTCAGTAAGTTTCATCACTCTCTATCAGATAGAATCAAAGTTATCTTGTCCCAAAGCATCGACCAATGAAATTGCTTAGCTCAGCATGTTAATCATTGAACTCAGTCAAGACATTCACCTAATGAACATCTGCATCAAGTTTAAACATTCTACCTCAATTAAAAGTAATGTTCCAAAGTCAATAATTCACGAAGTTACGATCTGATATGCAAGAATATCGAAAGGAACCAAGATCTTTGGGTTATAAATCGGATGAAAATTGTGACCTCTACAGTGCCACAAGCTAAAAATGTGATTTTTTCATACAATCAAGGGCCATAATCCATAAGTTATGGTCTGATACATGCCAATATCGAAAGGAATCAAGATCTTTGGGAGATAGACCTATAATTTAAGTTTTGTTAAAATTGGATAAAAATTGTGACCTGTTGAGTGTCCAAGTCCGGACGAACAGGGGCGACACAGGCCTCGAAATGTTGCTTTAGTAAATAACCTGTCACTCTCAATTATCAAAGACCAATCACATGACACATATCCATACATGTAGGGGCACACACACACTCTTAAATTGTTTACGTCTTGACATACATTGCTCCATATAAATATCGTAATATGAAACCTTTTTATTTCTTCGACATCTGAATGCCTAAAAGTTCTTGAAAGTCGGTGAATCTGCTCTGGCTTAGCAACTCGAAGATTTGTACAATTCTATCAAGCGTATTCACGCGAAATCCGCCAAGTATCATGGTACCAAACTTGTGTACTAAATCGACTACTTCGCCGTTGAGGCGTAGAATTCAGATTTTAAAATATCCGTAATACATTGATTATCAAAACACGAATCACACCTGTGCATGGTACCATATTTACATGTACCGTGTGCGGAGGACATATAACGCCCCCTGGAATTCCTTTCTCACATATCCTGTCTATATTTCTGCTACAAATTATATTTATATATGAAATATTTTTCCGATCTAATTATTTGATTTTGAAAATTTTCTTATTATTCATAGCCTTTATTTATGGAAATTGTTTTAAACTTTTTAAATGATTAAATACACCAGGCAACAAGCTGTGTGCATTTCCATTCCAGCTACCACTGTGGTGTCGTTACGATAGAACTTTTTTAAATGACCTGGGAGTGTGTTTTTAATTTATTTAGACATAATACTTTCATAATGCTATAAACTAGTGTCAAGCAGATGAAAACAAGCATAGATGGTGTGAAATTCATTGTTATAAAATTGTCTACTTCCAAACTGTGTGAGTAACTGTTGCCTACGACAGAGCGATATGTAAACAGTGCAAATGGTGGCTTTTCGCAGTATTTCCGTGCTTAATTCTTGCATTTAGAAACAAATAATTAAATGTACGTGACGTGGACGTGAGTATTGTGGTCTTATGTCAATTTACTGAACATCAAGTAAAATTTAGTCCAACTGTAGCAAGCGACAGGTAGTTTTACTTGTTACCTGTCAGACGAAAAAATCGCCTGTCGGCGACAAGTAGACAGGTGAACATTTCGAGCCATGCGACAGCATAATACATCCAAAGAAAATGTGGGTGTATAAAGATAGGTTGCCAGGCAACAAAACATACGCCCACAGCAGCTAAATCATCCGAGCAGTCAACAAGGGTTGTCGCATATTTATTCTTTTGTAGATAATTAGGGGAATTTAATAGACAATTTCATACAGATGACATTATAATTTTCATTGTTTGAGGGTTCACAAGGTTCTAAAAACTAAAACAAGGGTCGTAACTCTGGAAGTAATCTACAGAAATTGTTAAGATTCGACAAGCTTTTTCGTTTTACTAATTCAAATAATGCATATAAATTTCATACAGATCAGATGATAACTTTTGTCGGTCGAACGTTCACAAGGTTCAACAAAGTAAAAAATGGGCCATAACTCTAGAAGTAATTGACGGAAATTGCTGCCATACAACAGGCTTCTTCATTTCACTAATTTAAGTGATGCATATGAATTTCATAGAGATTAAGTGATAACTTTTGTCATTCAAGCGTTCACAAGATTCAACAAAGCTAAACATGGGCCATAACTCTAGATGTAATCAACGGAAATAGGCTGAAACTCAATAGGCTTGTTCGTTTTTCTAATTTAAACGATACATATAAATTTCATACTGATCGGATAATAACTTTTGTCGTTAGAGCATTCACAAGGTACAACAAAGTGAAACAAGGGCCAGACTATTCTATACGGCCACATTTCAATGTAGGCGTACAAAATTTGATTTTAACTTACCATTTTTCGGGTCAGAAACTGTTGTTCCTACAACTGTTAAACCAGACATCTCAGCTGCTTTAGCTACAGCACTTGCAAAATCAGCTTCTGCGAGAAAAGATTCATCACTTGAATCCTGGGAACAGGAACTACTACTTGTGTTTGCTTGATCAGTGCTGACCCAATAGCCTATGTGAAGCAGAAGACCGAGAAACATTATGTATAATAAAGATATTAACAATGATGAAAACAAAATACTTGCTTGAAATTTGAAAACTTCACCATCTTACATTTAAAATCCATTGGTAATTTAAAATATGCCCACACAGCAACTTTGTCATGAAAATAAATTGCCATAGACTGCAGCTTATGCTAAAGGAAAACTTTGTTGTTGACAAATGTGCCTTCAAGAAATCTAATCTTTGTCATGTTTACAAGCAACTTGTTATAAATCTGTTAAAAACTGTGGCCTCTATCATGTTCACAAGATTTTAACAAGATGAGGGGTAACTCTGGAAAGGAAGATTACGAAGCACTAAATATCGATAGGGTTTGTTCTATAATAACAACAATGCTACTTTTTTAAAAGATAGGTTACCAGGTAATGAAATATACGCCCACAGCAACTAATTCATCCAAGTGGTCTACAAGGGTTGTTTCATATTTATTAATTTGTAGGTAATGAGGGGCATTTACAAGACCATTTCATACAGATCAGATTAAGATTTCCGTCGTCTTAGGGTTCAAAAGATTCTACAAACTGAAACAAGGGCCATAATTCTGGAAGTAATGTAAAGAAATATTTCAAATTTGACAGGATCTTTCGTCTTACTAATTTAAATAATCAGGGTTTCCTCCAGAAAAAACTGGAAGGGGGGATACAAATTATTGGATCACCAAAGGCGATCCTACGGCGCAAATCTACTACCAGGGGGTTCTGGGGGAAACCCCCCCAGAAAATGTTTTCTTCGCGAACGCTGTAAATTCCATCGTTTCAGGAGGAAAACATCGCAAATTCAGCATGAAAGACCCACAAGTAGCTGTTTAATGTATGATTCCCATGTCATTCTCCAATAAAGTTCAGTCGGCTATTTTATATAGCCGAGTAATTGATGATAGCCGTTTTTGCCGTACCGTCCCGTAGCACATTTTTTTTTTTTCAAAAAAAGAACAAATAATAATCAAGCTGTAAAAAATAATTCTGTATAGAATGCACCAATTATTCATTTTCCATCAAGTGGAAATTTGATAAAAATGGCCAAAGTTTTACTCCGTGCATCAAACAACTATTTTATCATTGGTTAGAGCCGTCTAAATGCGGGGAAATTTACAGTAGCTATTGGCTAACATCACGCATATATAATCTTATTTGCATATTGTATACTATTTATAGAATTATAAGCTGAAATTAATTTTAAGGCGATAGCCGCAAGGACCAATATAGTGCCGTGTTTTTTGCAGAGTATAGCATGCAGCGCAAAAGCAGAGGATATATCATCAACCTCGCACGCGGGGTACTGTCCAGTCGGCAGTTGAATGTAAATAGGATAGACCATTTAAATCTTTTGTGTTAATAGTCCTGTAATTAATAGATAACATCTGTTTGGTCGTAAAAAATGCGTAATAAACTTGACCAAATTTTAAATCGGGCCATGAGCACAGATCAGTCATCCACTTGTTTTCCTCAATTGCATGTGGTCATTACGGGTCTGGTAAACTTGCCGTATCATTTTCTACATCAAAGTTTTTGTAAATATCGTTTCTGGCATCGGTTGGTAAATCTTACAAGTATATAGAAATGGCGATCGGTTCTATTTTATGTAAAACAAGCTTATTTAACGATGGTATTTTCACAAAAAAAACACACAATGGCCAATGGGTTTCAATCTACGAATAAGGCCAGGGTCTGCGCATGACCGAAAATGGCGTCAAAAGGGAAACCCGTAAAAGGTCCTAATGGATGCCTTGAATTAAATAACTTGACAAACCATATAATATGATAATTTCTTTAGTCACAGATCATTTAAACACTCCTTTTCTTACACAAAACACAGTTTTTGAAAACATTACTCAACTGACTGACTGCCCTTCTTCAAGCAAAGGGGGGTATCAGTTTTGTCATTCGAAGGTTCACAAGGTTCAACAAAGTGTAACAAGGGCCATAATTCTTTAGACAGAAATTGCTGAAATTCAATAGGTTTCTTCATTTCACTTTTGATGTTAGAGCATTCACATGATTCAACAAGATGACTCAAGGACCATAACTGAAGTTCATACAGATCACATGATCAGTTTTGTCATTCGAATGTTCACAAGGTCTGGACATGCACCAAAATTAATAGTTGCCGCCGTTGGGGTATAAAAAATATATATATGCCAAGTTTTAAGATGATCCATTCAGAATTGCGGCCAGCATATGATAAATGCAAAAATTGGGCATGCTTCTGCCCCTAGGAGTCGGGACATGCACCAAAATCAACAGTTGCCGTCCTTAGGCCATGAGGAATACTTATACCAAGTTCCATGACAATCCATTAAAAATTGTGGCCTGTAGGCAACACACATGAAAAACCAGTGGCTGCCAGGCAGGATACGCCCACATTTTCGAGAGATGGATAGAGAACAAGCTAAAAAGAAAGTGATTTTTCCTACAATCAAGGGCCATAATTCAGGAAATTACAATTCGATATGCACAAATATCGAAAGGAACCGAGATCTTTGTGTTATAAACTTACATTTCAAGTTTCAACAAAATCGGTTAAAAATTGTGACCTCTATGGGGTCAACAACCTTGATATACCATATTTTTACGCTATTTGAGAACGAACAGCGGCCATTTTGTCTGTCAATTTTTAGCCGATTTACACGAAAATTCGAACTCAGCCATCCTTAGGGTGTAACGGTGATATAATAATACGTTTTTTTAAATCGGAATAAAATTATGACCTCTATAGGGTCCACAAGCTAAAAATGCGATTTTTCGACAATCAGGGGCCATAATTCAGGTAGTTACGGTCCGATATGCGCGAATATGGACAGGAACCAAGATCTTTGGGTTATAAACTTACATTTCAAGTTTCAACAAAATCGGATAAAAATTGTGACCTCTATAGGGTCCACAACCTTGATATACCATATTTTTACGCTATTTGAGAACGAACGGCGGCCATTTTGTCTGTCAGTTTAGGGGCGATTTTCACGAAATTCAAACTCAGCCGTCCTTAGGGTTTAACGGTGACATAATAATACGTTTTTTTAAATCGTATAAAAAGTCCAAATGATGTATTTGATATTAATGGTTGACATCCATATGAACTTTTGTCTTTAAACTTTAATACTATTATTAGTGTCAGTAGATCTGAACATTTGACCCATCATCCAAAATGTGTGTCATAATCATTGAATTGATCCAATTGATCCACAACATATTTTTTTTATTGTTCTGACCACTCAATTTAACTACATATTTAGATTAGACATGTTAAAGTAATGTATGATATATCATATTCATCAACTTACCATCCTCGTTTATACTAGAACCATACGGCTGAGTCGCTTCTACGTCAGACTCTTCACAATAATCTGGCATTTCCTCGGACACAGGAGAATCACCATTTCTATAAATGTGAATCAGAGATGGTAAATTTATCCTATTTGAATAATATTCAGTTGCATACATTCTGCAACACGCAATAGCACTTGTTACAGGGCTGATCGGTGACAGAAGCAAGTTTAATTAGCTATAGATTTGTCTTAAAAAGATTCAATTTTGGCCTTGAAATTGAAACACACGGATAAGACACATACAATGTGAAGAAATAATAATAATAATAATATTGTTATCGCGTTGATACTGAAGAACAGTTTCTAAGACCCCGCTGGTTGTTCTATTCACTGATTATTTACAGATCAGGGTTTTGAAACAAGAATGTTTTGAGTTGAGATTTAAAATAACGAACAGACCTTACTAGGTTTATTGACTTTGATAGTTTATTCCATAAATAAGGACAAGTATAGGAAAGGGCACGTTTTCCAATTTGTAAGCTAATGATTGGCATGCACGTAAAAGATCCCTTGACAGTTGGAATTCGATATAAGAGTAGGCCGTATTGCAGAACAGTAGGAAGTTAAACCCCATTTCATTTCATTTCATGTAAGCTAATAGTTGAAAATTTTAAAAGATGTTTTTTCTGAGAACAGAGATTTTTGTGTAGTATAGGGTTCTTCAAGACTTTTTATATAAGATGGAGCTAGGCTGTTTAACGATTTGAAGACAAAGAACAGTAACTTAATTCTTTACTGAATTAGGAGCCAATGTAGCGACTGAAGTACAGGGGAGATATGTTGATGTTTTCTGCTTTTAGTGAGGAGTCGAAGCGCTGAATTTTGAACATGTTGTTTGTTAATGTGATAGTCTGGTTAGCAATATAGTAAGTAAACCATTGAGATAAATGTGTGAATGAGTTTTCCTTTATTTTCATAATTCAGATAGCATTAGATCTTTACAATTTGATGTACATGTATATGATAGAAGGCAGTGAAGCAAATACTTTGTATGTGATCTTTAAACAAAAGATTTGAGTCTAATATATCACCAATATTTCAAGCTTTATGGGTAATTTTTTTATGAAAATTAACTAGCGTTGGATCAATTTTTCAACGTTGTTGCTTGGATCTAGTTACCAACAGTTCGGTTTCATATGGATTTAATTTTAAGAAAGGTTCTATCATCCAAGCAAGAATATCTGTGAGACAAAGTTCCATATTTTGTATCATGGAATGTTGAGATTCTGCTCAAATGCAATATAAAGTTGGTGTTGTCTGCAAACAATTAAATATTTAGTCCATAGTATTCAGCAATCTTAGTGATAGGCTTTCTGAAGATAATAAAAAGTTCATGCCCGAGTACTGGTTTAAAGGACAATATTGGTGTCAGTCATTATCACATATATCTTGTCCCAAAGCATCAACCAATCAAATTGCTTATCTGTGCTTACCCTAAGCAGAAAATGCTCATCTTCGAACTCCATCAAGGCATTGACCACCTAATAAACACCTACACCAAGTTTGAACATTCTAGCTCAATTAGAAGTTGAGTTATTTTGTCCCAAAAAGTGTGACGGACAGACAGAAGAACCCATTCGAAAAGCAGGGGACAAAAAAAAAAGGTTAAAATATTGGTACTTGTCTTATGGCAATACACACTGTCTATAAATTTAAATTAAATTAATTCGGATAATAACTTGAGCCTCTAGGGCATCCACAAGATTTATCTAAGTGATCAAGTGCCAAAAGTCTGGAAATAATTATCAGAAATTAACTAAAAACAGTGTGGCACCACCCCTGGGGATAAAGCATGCACCAAAATCAATAGCTGGACTTATAAAAAGGGATAGTCCAGACTCCAGAGTCATAGTGGAGCCTCTATATATCTGCCAAGCTTCACTTGATTCTGTTCACTAATGAGGTAGTGGTAGCACTGAGACAAACCCCAAGAACAAGAAGATGATCAAAGGTTAGACAATCACTGTGGCCCTGGTGTATAACCCAATACCACCCAATACCACCCTAATACAAACTCAATATCACCACATACTACCCAATATTACAACATAATGATGTAAAATGTGCATATCAATTGAATTTATTCAAAAATAATTAGTTATAGCTCGGGAATTGTACTTTAAATGCGATTACCGATCTCTGGCTGTTCCATTTGCCTCCCTATATCAACCAAAACAAGCAAAACCTAACCCAATACTACCAAATACTACCACATACTACCCAATATTATCAATTAACAACCTCATATTGTCAAATAGCAGCATATTAGTATAATTACTGCAACGAATATTCTATAATTTGCAGAAAAATGAAATGTTTGCGCAGTTATCTCCCTTTACAACTGATAAAGAGATTTTAGATTATTCAGATTAATCATCTTCTTTTGCGTTGCAGTTGGTTTCCAAGTCGACTATATTGTGTATATTTTAATCTATTATATATAATTATATACTGTATTATTATATAAGATGGCCAGCGGTCTATAAATAACAATTTCAACCCCTCCATGGGTATCGTCAGGAGGCACGTCCTTTAATAAAAAAAAAATGCATATGTTTATATTTTTTCATGTCAACTATTAAGTCATTGCATAATTACTTTCATTTTAAAATGAACGAAATTGCACATGTTTATTGCAAATGTGTAATGCTCTACTCATATATACATTCCACCTGACTTAACAATTAAACAACGGGTTAAGATTGTTGATTGGGTAATCACGTTCTGGTTTATTTATATTATCTCTCGATGAAACTGCTACCAAATAATACACTTGAAGATATTCTTTTGTCAATATTGGTTTTAGCCTCTTTCTGTTGTATATAGACCCTTCATGTATATTGTTGTTGTTTATTACAAATACGACGGCTATGATTATCAATCCATCTATATGCAGTGTTATCAATGTTAAACATATAGATAACGTCCACCAGTTAATTGTCATTTTGTAAAAGTTGGCTTAATTACTAAATACAGCTTTGATTGTACTAATCATCTAGTGTCAACACTATAATCGGCATGTTTCCGGATATACGATTTAACTCAAAGTCAGTGTATATTCACACATCTCTGGCATCCAATAGAAGTTCCAAAAGCACATTTCTTCACTCTTGTCTAACCTCACACTCTGTGTAAGCGTAGTCATAATTTTATCGAATATTAGTCGATATCACTATGGCCCGTGGTCAACAACAAAAACATGTCCAACGGCATTGTGGTAAATGCGCTGTGAAGTGTAAAAATGGAATTATATTTTGTGACACGTGTTTGAAATGGTACCACATAGATTGTGAAGGCATTACTGATGTAGAAGTAAAAGCCCTTTCTGCCAGCCCAGAAACATATATTTGTGAAATATGCAGAAGTTCTGGTGACAATTTTGATTATCTCCTGGGAATAACACGACTGGGAAAGGTTTGTTATGTATCTTATTCAATTTAAAAAATTGCATAAAATATTTATATTTATTTTGTCCAAAATCGTGGATTTTCTCCGAGTGCTCCGGTTCCTCCCACTGCTAAAGACCCCTACGCGCCAGCGAATTATTGAAATAAAATTGAACGACCAGGTCAGTCCCGAAATGACCTAGTTTGTGTCGTGTGAAGGGTAAGCGCTTGTTATTATTTTGATTCGCATATGTTTATATTTATTTTTTCATGTCAACTATTACGTTATTGCATATTTACGTAATGGATGATGGTTATTTATAAATTAAACATTAACGAAATTGCACATGTTTATTACAAATGTGTAATGCTCTACTCGTAAATACATTCCACCTGACTTATCACTTAATCAACGGAAATAAGATTAAAATTAAAAACACTTATATGTATGGATATACTACTTCTGAATTTATTAACATGCTACGTTTCGATACACATACAGATATCGTTATCAAGCAAATTTTTATTTGTGAAATCTACCTCTATATGTCTTATAAGGAATATGGAAATAAGATTGTTGATTGGCTAATCAAGTTTTGTTGTGCTTGATCATCAAAGAAACCGACAGAGCTGTAAGTGTTTAAGCAGATTAGTGAAAGTAAGGCTTTGTATTTTATTTTCAGGCCGCAAATCACAGTGTTGACAAACTGAGAAGTGTCGCAGAAAGAGAGATGCTACTTCACAAAGAGAGGCGTGTCGATTTATCCCCTACAATAGTACCAACAGAATTCCTGTTGACGAAGTAGCTGACAAATTATTAAGGCAGTATACCAAAGAAACCTATGTCAATGCAGTAAAATCTACGGGCGATGGGGATTGTCTCTTCAATGCAGTCTCAACGCTGCTGATAGGGTGCGAATCTCTTTCAGTAGAGTTGAGATATCGCACTTGTTTGGAGATGGTTCCGACCCATGCAAACATGGGTACCGCCTGACGATACCCATGGAGGGGTTGAAATAGTTATTTATAGACTGACGGCCATCTTATATAATAATACAGTAGTTAACTATATATAATGATTAAAATATACACAACAAAATACTTGTTTTTCTTATTTTAACTTCGTCCTCTTGGAAACCCACTGCAAAGCAAAAGAAGATGATTAATCTGGATAGCAATTTATCGGTTGTAAAGGGAGATAACTGCGCAAACATTTCATTTTTCTTCAAATTACAGAATATTCGCTGCAGTAATTATACTAATGTGCTGCTATTTGAAAATATTAGGTTGTTAATTGATAAAATTGGGTAGTATGTGGTAGTATTTGGTAGTATTGGGTTAGTTTTTACTTGTTTTGGTTGATATAGGGGGGCAAATGGAAAAGCCAGAGATCGGTAATCGCATTTAAAGTACAATTCCCGTGCTATAACTAATTATTTTTAAAAAAAATTCAATTGATATGCACAGTTTACATCATTATGTTGGAGTATTAGGTAGTATGTGGTTATATTGTAGTGGTATTGGGGTGGTATTGGGTAGTATTGGGTAAATCGTCCCACCTGTAAAAAGTTTACTTTAAGCCTGGCCAAGGAAGTTACTGATGACAGAACGATTAGCTAATGTCATGTTTTATTATAAAGTGTACCAGTGGGTATCTAATAAATGTAATGGTTTTATTAGAAAAGAGAAAAAGAGTTTTTAAATATTTTTCTTATCTTCAAAATCAGCATATATTGAACATATAAAATACTTAGTACTAGCTTTATTGGTGTATTTTTTTTATTAAAATATTAGAAAAGAGAAAAAGAGTTTTTAAATATTTTTCTTATCTTCAAAATCAGCATATATTGAACATATAAAATACTTAATACTAGCTTTATTGGTGGTATCTTTTTATTAAAATAAGTTTCAAATATTTTAATGAATTACATCATTTAAGACAGACATTTTTCCCATCATTTTTTATCAAGATTTTAGAATACATTGAAATAACATTTGTTTTAAAATTTTGAATTTATTTTTGTATAATTATAAGGGCAAGTGTGTCTTCTTTAAAACAGGCTTAAAAATATACTGATGAGAAAAATAACAAGTTCCGAAAATTGAATTGTTCAAACCCCAGTGAAAATTTGACTAGTCTGTCCATCCACTACATTATTGAGGTGGTCTTACTTTCGTTTTGTAAACTTTGTATTTTTATGTCACGTGGAAATAAATTTGTCCCTTTGTGGAATAGCTGTTTATGTTTTAGTATATGCCATTTAAAAAAAGCAGGAAAATGGTTTGGAAAATCAAATTTCCATGCTTATGTATTGCTAACGTTTCGTCCAATTGATGTCTGTCCAGTTTTAGCGAAACGTTAGCATTATTTTAATATTTCTTTTCGGCTTCATATTACGTGATAGAATTTGAATAACCGCTGCAAACGAAGCGTGAGTGTAGTCTCGATCTTCCACACAGGATACGGATAATTTGACACGGGTAGTCGATTGATTATGCCATTTTTACAGTTGTCTGTCCGAAAATGTTAACGTTAGCACTCTTGATACATTAGCACAACTAATTCGCCTTTCAAGGCGTTGTTTACTCAAAATGTATCACTTTCTTTACGGCCTTTAGAAAAGAAAACTGGCTTTCCGATTCCTGATGCATAAACATGGCGGTCGGCATTCTCGCCTTATTCACTCGATCAAAATGACTTTGACCCCCCGCAAAAAAGTGCTAACATATAAATTGTCAGACCGATTAAATAAACCGTCTGTCCTTACGTAACGTTAGCACGCGCTTTTAAAATACTTTTTGTCCGATTTTAAATTTAAAACTCACCCAAGGGTAGAAATATACAATTTATTAATACCTTTCATTGCGGACTATTTGAATTTTTAGTTAAAAACAATAATTCAAGTAATACAGTTATTTATAAAATGTCCATGTCTATCCTTATGTAACGTTAGCAACAGTTGCATATGCCCGATAAATGTTTAAATTTTAGGTTATTAAAATATATGATTATATTTATTATATTAATCTTAAATTCTTAATATTATGCTTTATTTAGCATGTAATAAAATCTCAGTAACTACTTACATCAACACTATAAATAGAAATTTTCTTCAAACTTTAGTGCTAATGTTACAAATCTGCCAGAATGTCTGTCCACATGTAACATTAGCAATGCAATTCATTTTTAAATTAAAAATTAATTTGTAAATCATATCCCATGAAACTTCAGATTTAGATAATGTATTATTACATTAAACTTTTGAAGAAAATTATTAATATATATAAGCAACAGTTAATATCTGAAAGGAAAATAAATGTGCTATGCGTCTGTCCAATTCAAAAGAGACATTTTATATTTACTAAAATGGTCATCTTAACTGTCTTATGACCCAAAAATAATAGCATCTTCATTCATATAATTCAATGTATATTCTACCTATAGAGATTGATATTTATATGAATTTTAATGTGCATTGTTTGCATTTGATATAATTTCATCTAGAGTGATACGATTCAAAAAATTTCAATATGTTAAGTATAATGTTCAATAAAAAAATTATTTTGCGAAAAATTATCTTTTTTAAAATGTATTTTGGAAGAATATGTATCAATCTTAACTGAGACAGTGATTTTGTAAGAGGAATTGGAATTTCATAATTCAAATGGGATTGGGAACCTATGGTACACTTTAAAAAAACCATGCCTAATTGAGAATGCCAACGGCTAAGAAAATAAATTAATTTAGCAAAATAAATAAAATGAAGTCAGATTAATTGATTCTGAATATTATGGAAATATTAATCCAGCTGCGAAATCTAATTTTGAAAGCCTGAATTGGAAAATTCATTGGATGCAGCTCCCGTGTCGGAGTGGCCCCTTTTACTGACCGCAGAGCCCGGATGGGGGTTCCGGGGGCTCTAACCCTGGAAAAATTTGAAAAATGAACCCCAAATATGCGATTTGGTGGCATGTCTGATTATAATCTCTGTCAAATAATATATCTCATAAATCGATTAATTTAGGCCAAAACCCCGACCTGCAAGTAATTTACAACCATCAACCTGTGAAATTATCATATTGTCATATTATTAAAAATTTTCGGATCCTGCAATGGGGATTCTGATTTTCTGGCCAACACCCAGCCCAGAAAGTCTATTATACCAGCCCATTCCAGACTCCAGTGATGGCGTGGCGGCCCGTTAAAGCCACTGGCCACATACAACATGATCATCATCGCTCCATGGCCGGTCCAATACCCCCCAATCCGCCCCTGATTGGATGTTAATTTGGATCCCGATATTAAAAAAATTAATCTCAAAATATCAGACGTTGATTTCTAATGATAAACATGTAGGTTACAGTTAACTGTTATAGAAGACTATATCCAAGACATCGACAAACAACTTCTAAATAAAGCAGTAGTAGTGGGTGGAAGAATCCCTGGAACAGTGCAGGTCAGCATGGATCTCAGTGATACGGTTGGAGCAGAGAGGAAAACGGAATCCTCTAAAAAAAGATTAATGGGGGGACTAAATTAGGAATTAGGCTGCCTACCGTGCCTATGCATGACTTGTAACATTTACACCTGCTCAACATGCGCGTTATTGCACAGAAAACCCACCTTACTTCTCTGTATGATTTCTACTAAAACTAGCGTAAACCAGTAAAAGTGTGCAATAACATTGAAAATGTCTAGTTATTGCACGGTTGAACTCCACCCAGCCTGTTATAGAGGGAAAACAGAAAGATTTCCCGTCCATGTAACAAATCATTGGGGAAATTCTGCTTTTGGTGCAATACCATCTTCAACTTAAAAGTAACCTACCTGCTCTGATAATTTGAATGTACACATTCACTTGCAAGACTTGGCAATGATGATTGGCATGCTCTATCCACAGAAACTCCATCTTGGGAACACTGTGTACACATTCTACTGTTAGACTCTACATGATACCCTTGAAGGGCTGCTGGTGTAAATACTGATGCTCCCATTACCCCATTTCTACTTTCACTGTCATTGTAAAATGATAGTGGGAGATACACATTACTATAGTCATTTTTATCAGCAATATGGTGGCATGCTTCGTAATTATACATCTTACTAGGAGACATTCTGCCATCGTGAACAGGTGAACGAGTTTGACGAGAATTGAGCTGTTTAGGTGAATATGGACGGCACTCATGCATCCTTGGTGAATGCATTCCAAATTCATTGTCAGAGTAGGCTACATTACGAATATTTGTTGGCATTCTATCATGGGGCACAGGACAAGAACAAGCTGATATTTTAGAAACTGGTGATATAGGACTTCTGTCATTATTTTGTCGATATGCTTGTCTTTCTAATCTTTGAAGTGTGTTTATTGGAGATTCAGAAGGTGATCCTACATCACTAGGTGGTGGATGTTCTGGTGGAGGTGGCAATAACTCAGACCAATTCACCATTCCTTGTTTTCCTTGATACATGTGTTTTGGAACTTTCTGATTGCGTTTGATGGGCATACCATATTCATCTGTAGTTAGACTTCCACTATCACTAGCTGGACTAAGCATTTCCATATTTTCATGATGACAGCCTGTAAAGAGAAAAATTACAATACACAAGTGATATATTATGGGCTTATTTTATCATATATGATACAGTGGACTCTGTCACATCCGATGTCTGATCACTCCGGATTGCTGTGACATGCGACATGATTTTCATGTCCCGATTTATTTCCTTATTACTTCAGCCAAAAAATCGCTGGTAAATCCGGATTCTGTATGTTCCGGATTACGACATCAATCAGCCAAAAAATCGCTGGTAAATCTGGATTCTGTATGTTCCAGATTACGACATCAATCAGCCGTCCCGTCACATAATTGCCATTGAATCGACTCCGTATAATCCGTACTTCAAACGGTGGGTGTGAAGCATCCAATTATCGGTGAGATTAAAACTCAATGGGTGTGAAGCCAGAAAAGATTAACAAGCAATCACCAATCAATTATCGGTGAGATTAAAACTTGCAAGCGCCGGTCTGTGTTGATTACTTTGATAATGTTATAAATTCTTTGTTGATTATTTTACAATTTATAATCTCTTGTAAGAGTGCGCTTGATATTTGATTTTAGTTACTCATGTCAAATACCGCGACATTATATTAAAATTGCCGCAATTGAAGATTCATTATACATTATTGTATTCAAAATGTCTGAACATCCTGCAAAGCGTGCCCGAATAGATTTGACATTAGATGTAATTGTAAAGCGGCAACTTATAGCAGATTTCGAGAAAGTTCCACGACCTGTGCAGAAGGAATTAGCCGTTAAGTATTCAATTGTCCATGTTACAGTTGTCCAGGACTCCGCCTTACGATATGCTTTCGGTAATCTTAAGCAAACTACTTTAAACGATTACATGCATTGATATTTATAAATATATTGTACGCATGCATTGGTATTACATGTAAATGATTTTATGAATATATTGTACGCATGCATTGTTATTGTTAATTATTTAATGTAATAAAATTTTGAAAGTACAGAAAGGTTTATCATTTTTAAAGGGAATAGCATTCTGGTGATTCGAAGCTACAATATAAAAATACTTCCGGTTTTCGAAGTTACAGTATTTCCGGTTTTGGAGAAAGCTCGGAATTCCGACACGCTGTGTGATCCGAAATATTGTAACAATCCCGTACCATGTCGGATGTGACAGAGTCCACTGTATATGAAAAACATTCATCAAGAATCAAAGTATGACCACATTTGATTTTAGGGGACATAACCATTTGGGAAAAGATGCGCCCACAGCAAGGGTTATCACATATTTATTGTTTTGTAGGTAATGGGAGCACCTAAATAAAAATAAGACACTAAAACTAGTCATCATCAGAAACAACCCATTAAAAATATATCAAAAAGCTGAAGATCGATATGCATCGTCCTCTCATGACCCCAACACTTCCCACCAAAATTAAAAGAAATATCTTAAAAAACCTGGCCTCTAGAGTCATACGCCCTTTAAAGATGTCATGCAAAACGTAAAAAGAAAAGTTAGAGACAAATCTATATTCCAAGAAAACAGATTGCCATCATTATCTTCCTCCATCAAGTGGTCATCCCAAACACACCTTTAACGCTATCCCTTACAGTGGTGCTCTACGTATCAAACGGATTTGTAGTGAAGATAGCTGGACCAAATCAAACCTAAAAAATTTGGATCCTATTTTAAACAATCCGGATATCCCAAGAAAATTATTCTAAAGGCATTTAAATGCGCAGATCAGTAAAAACCAGGACTGAATTATTGACCTACCAATCTAAGACCGATACTAATTTGAACATTATTCCATAGACAACTACCTTTGACCCTCGACAACCTCACCTTCACCAAATGAATAATGACTGGAGTATTTTAGACACCAGTTCAATTATGACAAAAATTATGAAAAGCAGCAAAATAATAATAGCAGAGAGAAAGAACCACACTATTGGCAATATCTTGAAAGAAAATAATTTGAGAACTTCTGGCACTAGTAATAAGCATATTAAGGACAGAATTTCATACAGATGTCAACCTTGTTTACGAAAATCATGCGAGACTATGTGTAATAATCAAGAAGTAACCAGTAAAGACATGAAAACATCCAATATTTGAGACTGTCAACTTTGCCAGTTCTTATCTTGTATTGTTTAACATGTAAAACCTGTAGTATGCAATATGTAGGCCAAACCATCACTCCTTTCAGCACTCGACTTAATAAGCACAGAAGTAATATAAAGCTTAAAAAACCTGGCCATTCCCCCATGTAGCCTCCCATTTTAATATACCGGGTCATGATTTCGTGTGTACCATAGTACAAAAAATTCCTGATAAAGATTAGAAAATATTGAACACAGCAGAAAGTCTGTGGATTCATACATTTGATTCAGTTTGGCCTAACGGTTAATTAAATGAGTTAAATCCAGGGGGTTTCAAAATCATGCACAATTTTTCCTTACTTGTAAAATTTTACTTAAGTTTTAGTTAAGCTAACCTTTCATGTTATGTATCTAAGTCTATGACGTCATCATTCCCACGATGTCATAACTTCCTATGATGTCATAACTGACTTCCAGTTATTTTGTATAGAAGAAGTTAGTATTTTTACTGACTAAAACAATGTCATACTATAAAACAATGTTTTTTTGATATTGTATTCTATTATTTATTTTGTATCAACTTATCTGAATATCAAATGCATCATTTTGACTTAGTAAAAATTGATCCCATCAAACCGTCTGTATTTGGTTTGTGTTTCCTGTTTCTATTGATTGGAAGTTTCACATAGCAGCTTTGTCGCATAATGCTGAAAGTTGTAGAATGCTGAATATCGATAGGGTTTCGTCCCCTAATGACTCAAATGGTTCAAACAAAAATTTGAAAAAAAACAAAACTGTAGCCTCAATCGTGTTCACAAGGTTTTCGGCAAAGGGGGTATTAAATACGGAACAGAAAGTCGTGGAACACTGAATATCAATATGGTTCGTTCTCTCATGGCAACACCTCGATTGAAAAAAATCTGTCAAAAACTGTAGCGTCTATCACACTTCGGGTTCGTCCTCTCATGGCCACAATGCATCCCAGCAAATTAGAAAGAAATCTGTTAAAAAAATAAAGCATCTTTCATGTCCACATGGTTTTTGGCAAATAGGGGATAACTAAAGGAATGGAAAGTAACAGAACGTTAAATATGCTAGGGTACATCCTTTCATGACCACAATGCTTCACAAGGTTTTCAGCAATGTGGGATAACTCTGGAACAGAAAATCACAGAAAGATTAAAATCGATAGGGTTCATTCCTAAGAAATTTGAAAAGAATCCTTTAAAAACTGTAGCCTCAATCGTATTCATAAGTTTTTCAGAAAAGGAGGCATAACTCTGGTATGAAAGATTGTAGAACATTGAATATCAATAGGGTGTGTCCTGTACTGACCACGATGCTTCACACCAAATTTTAAAAAAAAAGCGGTTGCCATGCAAGATACGCATTTTGCAAGAGATGGATAGAGAACAAGCTGATACGCATTTTGCAAGAGATAACTTACAGTGCGACATGTGTCAATACTGACAGAGACCGAGATCTTTAGAATATAAACATATATTTAAGTTTCATCAAAATCGCATAAAAATTGTGTCCTCTGGAGGGTCCACAACCTTGGTATTACACACTTTTACACTATTTGCATAAACCATCATTACTGTGTAATGGTGATGCATTTGAACATTTTATAAAATCAAATTGTGACCTCTATAGGGATCCATAAGCTAAAAACACAATTTTTTGTACAAGTTATGATCCGATATGTGCCAACATCAAAAGGAAACAAAACCTTTCGGTTATGATATAACCATACCTTTAAGTTTCATCCAAATCAGATAAAAATTGCGACCTCTAGAAGTTCCATAAGCTAAAAAACAGTTGCATTTTGCAAGAATTGGACAATCAGGGGACATAATCCAGAATGTTACGAACAATATGAACCAATATCAAAGGAACCAAGATCTTTGGGATATAAACAAATATTTTAAGTTTCATCAAAATTGGATAAAAATTGTGACATGTGGAGGGTCCAAAAACAAAAATGTGAACGACGGATAAGTGTGACGGCATAAAACGTCCACATGAAAATGTGGCTGTATAAAAATGTAGGCACTATCGCATTCACAAGCCAATCTGTTAAAGATAGGTTGCCAGGCAATGAAACATACGCCCACAGCAGCTAAATCGTCCGGGCAGTCAACAAGAGTTGCTGCATATTTTTACTTTTTTCATGTAATGAAACATTTATATTATAATACACTAAAATGTGATTGTCAGAAAATCATTAGAATTTGTTTAACCCATGCTAACGTTTAGTATACAAAACATTTAATATCATGGATTTAGCTGCTGAAGTTATCAAAAATTATTGAAAATCAATACACATAAATTTGTTCGTCACAAGACCTTAAACTCTGTGTATCATCCTAAAGTCAATTTAAACGATTACATATATAGGCGTAAACATGGTGTATAAATATAAAATCAAACAGATGATAACTATAGTCTCTTAAAGCATCCACAAGATTTTTCAAAGTGATCAAGGGCCATAACTCAGGCAGTAAGTATCGGAAATCGTTGAAAATCAATATATTGCTTCGTCTGATGACCATAAACACTGTGTAAAAATTAGAAGTCAATCGATATTAACTTTAGCCTCTAGATACTAGAAGAATGGTATCGTTTAGAAAAGGGGTTTTTAGCGCTGGAAAGTGAACGGCTCGTCTAATAAATAAATGCCATAAATAAGTGAACAGGTCGTCCATTTATAAACGCCTCTCGGAGAAACTAAACCCGTTCGTTACCATTAAACTAAGCCATAGTAGTAACTAAACCATTTTTGTAATTCTTAAACGATTTTTATCAATTATCGAACGATGTTTTGAAAGTAAACTATATGCATACTTTCCAGCGTTAAAAACCCTGTTCTCAACGATACCATTCTTCTAGCAAGAGCATCCACAAGATTTTTCAAAGTGATCAAGGGCCATAACTCTTGCAGTATTTATCGGAAATTGGTGAAAATCAATAGACTTCTTCGTCTCATGACCTTAATAAACACAGTGTATAAATTTGGTCTCATGACCTTAAAGATTGTGTATAAATTTTAAGTCAATCGGATATTAACTTTAGCCTCTAGAGTGTCCACAAGATATTTCAAAGTGATCAAGGGCCATAACACTGGCAATAATTATCGGAAATTGGTAAAAAAAGTTTGTTAAAAAAAATGTAGCCTCTTGCGCATTCACAAGGTTTGCAGTAAAAGGGGGGGGGGGGGCTCCTTAATTGTTAACTCTTAGAACCCGAAATGCCGCAAAACCGGCTTGAAGTTGTATCGCACATACCCGAAATGTCGGTTTTGCGGCTTGGGGCGTGTCGTTTGAATCGCGGCCTTAACAATAATAATTTAGCCAATCAAAATACAATTTACCGTTTGCTCCGGGTCTGTTGGTAACAGTGACTTCCTTCTAGATTGTTTACATTTAGATATTGGCAAATTATTTCGATATAATATGTTTTCTAAACGATTAAATACAACGGATGCGCTAGCTTTTATAATGAGAGATAATGACGACGATATTAATGGTTCGGATTACGGCAATGAGAGCGACTTTGAAAGTGATTAAATTAAATATTGTGATTAAATATCGTTGTTTCATCATTTCAAACAATTTTAAACACATATAATATCAAATTCACACCTAACATTTAGTCCCAATCAAAATGACGTCATTTTTCCAAATTCCTGCTGTAAAGTCAGGGTGGGGTGTGCCACACCCAAAATATTTTCAGGGTTCAAAGGGTTAAAATTCAACAGAGGAGGGTTGGGTTAATGACGGTGTGTTGCATCATAAGGTTTCTTATTGAGTCAAGTGGTATGATTTCGATTCCCCAAGGGTCGCCGGTCCAACCGCTTGGGTTTCCTACAAGTCCCACGGTTTCCTCCCATCGCAAAAGAAAATTCCTGCGCAAGCGAGTTATTGAAATAGAATTGAACTACATATTAGTCCCGAAATGACCTAGTTTGTGTCGTGTGGACGTTAAACCACATTTCCCTATCGCCCTGAAATTCGACGGGCGTCTATGTTTCATTACTATGAACAATGTGTATAATAAGTACATTTGATGATAAATTTTAGCATCAAGGAATCTTGAAAATGAGAAATGGGCCATAATTCAAGAATTAATTAATTGAAATTGTTCAAATTCAAAATAATTCCTTGTTGCAATGATCATTGAAACTTGTTCAAATTCAACAGGTTTCTTCATTTCCCCCAATTTAAATAATGGATACAAATTTCAGGGATCAAACGATAAATTTTAACTTACTTGTATTGGGTCCACTGTTATCAGAATGCGAGTCACTTGATCTGAGTTCAGGTTTCTGACAGCTATCTCCTGAACCGCTACTGTGAACATATGCATGATTGATAGGTCGAAATGTGCTTTCCATACAGGTCTACAAGCAAAAAAAAAAGAAAAATAATGAAACTAATGTTAACATGGACATGATCAAGGATAGTATTCGGGTCTAGGAAACATATATACCTTCAGCAGCTGTGTCAAGACAGTAATTGAAAAAGATTGCAAAAATTTGGAATGTTTCCCTTGATTGCACCATACACTTAAATGTGTAGAATCAACAAGCGGTTGCCATACAAGATACACCCACACTTTGCAAAGATGGGCGGAGCACAATGAAAACTGAAAAACTGATAGGGCTCATCTAACCTCTCATTGTCACAATGCTTCATATTGAATTTTAAAAAAACTTGTGTTAAAAAGCTCATTTCAGATTTACCGTTATATTATCTAGTATGTTATACACACTGTAGTAACATATGCTGACAAAGATCTAGTATGTCATACACACTGTAGTGACACATGCTGACAACTGTTCAGTTTTAAAAATACTGTACTGGCCCAAATTGGGGACAATGAAGAATGATCAAAATAGACATTGTTTAATATTCTTCAGTCTACTGTGTATTAACAATATAAATCACAGTGAATAAACATGATATAACCTCCATTTTGTAAGAGTTTCAATAGTTATTTATAAACACAAATATAAATTTGTGTTTTCTGTGTAATACAATCGATTAATTCATCCGCTCCATATCGTATCTCCAGGACTTAGATCATCACTATGTCCCATCTAGATGCCTATGGTCTGCTGATCAATTTCTTCTGGATACTCCCACATATTAATTGAAAACTTTCGGGGCTCAGTCATTTTTGCTTAATGCACCAACTTGGAACATTTTACCTCTTCACCTTAAAACCCAACAAACTTTAATGTGGGCTCTAAACTCTTTCACAACAATGATATACACAAAAGGTGGTGTCTAATAATGAGATCTACAAAATGATATCTACAATGTGACGTACTCTACTATGTGATGAAATCAAAAAGGGTGACATCTAATCTGTGATTACAATGGTGACATCTAATCTACAATAATCTATGATTACAATGGTGACATCTATATAATCTACAATCACATAACAATGTGATGATTGACTGCAAATATAAATCTGAAATAATGTAAATAAAGTAAAGAAATCTACAATCAAGACCTCTTGTATTTATTATTGTATTTATTTTTTTTACTCAAACTGTGCTGCTTGCACCCTGCTCACAAACTAAGATCTATATCATTATGAATTAAAATTAGGAAACAGTGAGACCATCCATAATTGAAAACAATTGACCAAATGCGACTACAGGCTGTCAAAACTTTTACGGGCCTATATGGGGAAATACTGGTACTAGACAAGAGATATTGTGTTACTAAAAAGCAAAAATTGTTTCTAAAAGTTCCCTGTTTTCCAGTTTCATCTACCAATTACCATAAGTTCAAAATGAGACATTACCCCCCAAGTAACTCACTTCTGTTTTAGAAATATTAGTGTTACTATTTTGTATGTGTTGTGGCGTTAGATGTGTGGTCCACACTTAAGAGTATATGTCCCTATGTAACATGGAATATAGTGCAATATAAATGTTAATATTATTATTATTTTCTAAATAATACAAGGTGAATTAACAATCCAGGCTGTAAAAAAACACCAAGAAGTTGAGTTTTGATACTCACCAAAATAAAACACATTCAAGATCTTTTGATCTTTAACATACTTTTTAAGTTTCATCTAAATGAAATAAAAATGATAGCCTCTGGAAGGTCTACAAACTTTACACATATTTCACATTTTGCGTAAAAGGCATAATTTAGAATGGAAGATCTTATGTGCACAAAAATTGACTCCTTAAAAATGCATTATGTAAGATTTAGAATTAGATAAAGAGCTGGAAGTTCTTGCTATAATAGTTCAAAAACAGATAATGAAAAATGAATATATCGAAAATTTCATTCAAATTACTTTTTTCTGAGTGAAGTTATAACGGAAGATATAGTGTAAATTGTTCATTATTATAGCAACGGTACTGGTCAAACGAAACTTAGCCTTGACTGTCCATTTTATCGTTAAATTTTTAAATCTCACGGATGTTTAAATCCATTTAATTCTTGACCATCCACTGGTCTAATTAATTATGTTAATTAATGTCTAAATAATGATTTATATATAACATTTGAAGGCAAATGAAAGACCTGCAATAAGCTGATTTAACATACATTTTAAGTTTCATCTAAACCAGACAGAAATTGTGAACTGTCGAGACCATTTACACTATATTTGTGTACAAGTGGAGCGGTCATTTTGAGGAAAGTTTTGATCCGATTTTCACAAAATGAGAACTCAAGTGTAATTAGTCACGATTCTAGTGAACTGTTGCATCTGCATATTTTCTGATTTGGGGTTTTACCGCGAAAAAATATAATTCATTGCTCTTTACTTTGTGGCTAATCTGCATTTATGATGACCCACTAGATTTTCTAATACATAAATGGTCAAGTGATGAATATCAAACTGTCTGCACCATTGAGTTCTGGCAAAATGACAAATGTCGACATTGGACACTTTGTCAGATTTTTTATTTTCAGTTTGTCTCTGTTAGATGGATGGCAAATTTGATGTTAGCATGATATCTTCTAAATATCACAAAGTTCCATATCTTTCTTCCGAATTCGCAACAACATAAACTAAAGAGAATGGCTCAGTGGTTCAACAGAAAGAAATGAACCATTTTATTAGTGCATTGAAACTGTATTTAAAGTTGTCTTCAGAATAATTTACTGAAGAATATTTATAAATTGTATTTTTAAAAAGCATATTTTGGTGAATGTAATTACTTGCCTATGTGTGTTGAAGTTTAACTGCAAATGTAAATGTCAGTTCAAGGTAGTTTCAAGTACATGTATATAAATCTCTATTGTGTTCCAGCTGATCTAAATTCAAACATTTCGAATGCTCTTTCAATCCACTTACAATATTCCAGAAAAGAGTTACCTTTGCAAAATTGCGTGAATTTGAAACAAATGATGGATTAAGCGTTTTTTATACATACTACTTGAAAGCGCCTCCAATAACCTATAAACAAAAATTCAGTTTGTGAGAAAACAAATGAGATGGGGTATGGCTGGGAAAGGGTACATCATGTCTAAATTATTTTTCAGACTATAAATCAAAAATATCATAACTCTTTTTAAGTCTCGATATATTGGCCAACTTTGAGTATTAGGATGTTAAACAATACTTTAACATATTTTCGATATTGATATCCAACTTTCCTAATGCAACGTGCTATCAAAGACCAAAACATGTATAATATTCAGTGTGTGTTGTGTAATTGAGATCTAGATGTTATTATATACAATAATACTATGCTTTCAATAAACCATAATAAATGTCATGCTTGTGGTTAAATGTCTTATTTTACTGACTATATGACTGCGATGACTTATGTTTTGTTTTTTTTAAATATCAATGGAATGGACATGTAGACAGTCTTCAAAATATAGGTCACGTTTAGTTGGATTCATGCTACTTTTATTTTCAACAAAACTAACACAGAGACTTTGATAATATTACAATAATTCAGGGGAATCAATCTGTTAAACAAATTATTCCTGATGGGCTTTCCTCTGATGTTCAGTATATCAATGTTACAACTCTCCCGTTAGTTTCACGCAAGGGAATTAAAGCAGTTCCTTTCAAATCTATTTTGAAATTCAATGAAATTGGAACATGTGCTTTAGGGTCTGCTGCAGGGGCATAAAAAACAACATTTGAATCCACTAGCCCATCGCTAGTAGTCTACTGTCGGATATTAGCCGGGACAGTGTTTAAAATTCAGGTTGGTCAATCGACATCTTTTTATTTTAAGGATGGTGGGTCGACCCTGCTAGCCGACTGTTTTTGTCAGAAAAAATATGTCATGGATATCAGCACACTCCCAGAGTTTGGCTGAATATTATTTAACCATTTTGATCAAGCGTGGAACAGATGAGTGTGTGCTCAGATAGTATTTCTTCATCCAATAATGAATACACATGTACTATCCAGCATCATATTATATTCCTTCAATGGTGAGATTCAAACATGTATGCTACTAAACTAGGTCAGTCCAACTATTAAAATAGAAAAAAGCTTGAACGCCTATTTACCAGTAACAATATAATTCCAGCAAGGTGAAATGAATGGCCTTTACATAAATTTGAGGCACTGGGGGTGGGGTGAGATAAGGGAGTGTGTGTGTTTTGTTAATATTAACTGAGCCCACATGTTAATGTTAGGACAGGTCTACCTACAACTTTCAGGAATCGCGTCCAGCAGCGGGTCATGTTTACTTACAACTTTTCTTGTTGAATTTTGAACACTGGCCCAGCATTAATTTCCACTAGCCAGTAGATGGACAAAGTACAAGCTTTAACATTAGCCTGCGTATAAAATAAAACTTGATAAATGGAATAACTGAAGAATAGTAGATGGGAATGCTAAAGTCTGCACAAAATTATCCCCCCCACCCACAGTCATAGTAGGCCAGAATTTGGACACTAGAATTCCTTTGTCAGCTTCAGGAAATATCGTCAATAAAAAAAATATGCACGCCTTGCTATTTTTCATATTCAATTACCGTACGGTATTCAAATTTATATTAATAATATTCCTACACAAGCGGTTGCCATGCAAGATACACCCAAATTTTGCAAGAGATGGACAGAAAACGAGCTAAAAAAATGTGATTTTTTGTACAATTAGGTGCCATAATCCAGGAAGTTACAGTCAGATATGCACGAATATCGACAGGAACCACGATCTTTTGGATATAAACATATATTTTAAGTTTCATCACAATCGGATAAAATCTGTGACTTCTAGAGGGTCCACAACCTTGGTATTACATACTTTTACATTATTTTCGAACAAGGAGTGTCCATTTGTCCGGCAGTTTCTGTCGGATTTTTACGAAATTTGAACTCAACCTTCACTGAGGTGTAACAGTAATATATTTTAATAGGTTTTTAAAACTGAATCCAAATTGTGACTTCTAGA